TCACTTCAAACAAGCAAAATTTTACTGGTTTATTTGGGCCTAATTTTATCCCATATTAATCTACATGTTAGTTTTATACATATATGTACCTACATACACATTATGATATGGCACATGGTTTATTTTAGTGGATTGCGTATAATATTTTTGTCGAAAAAGTTTTATTACATTACGTAGCGAGTTCTTTCTATCTCTTCCAATATCGACCTAATAAAAATCTATTGATTATGAAATGAAGAGAGATATTATAAAGGGACTAAGAACCACGAACCACATTATCAATTTGAATTGGACTACTGGACCCCTGGCAAATCCAGGGTTTTAGTTAACATAGTACATTACCTACTTTTTAATTGTATTTAACCTTAGGTATAACCTTCTGGTTAAAAATAGATTAGGTATCCAAAAATTCCTAATTTAATTATTCAGTTTTTCTATTCATTATCATAAGGTCGTCAGTCCTAAGACTGGTTGGACACGCACCTCCGCTCTTGCTTATTCTGAGCTAATCTTTGCATTTCCCCAAAAACCAGAACAACCCACATCCTTAANCTCCTATCTTTATATTCGCTCTTTCGCTACTTTTTCTTCCCTTGCATATCAGTATTTTAGTTTTACTTTTATTTATTTTCATACAGTACTGATCTGTCAGTACCGTTTCCATTTTATTTAAAGCTATCTCTAGTTCTACTATAAAAGGTAAAATTAAGTAATAGAAATTAATCATTCTTTATGCGATTCTATACCAATAAGGTCGTGTGCCTAATGGCAAAAGTTCTTTCTTTTCGTTGTTATCGATGACCTTAAAGATTTCTCAACTAGCAATATCCTGAAAATGATTAAATAATTTTGTTGCACCGGAAGAACCGTAAAAGAAAAATTTCGAAGTCGAAAAACTATTTAACGATTTCAACCGGCGAATAAGTAAGATATATAGGATTAGCTGCCGTGATTACACAGTCACGATGCCGTTTTATGGACTTTTGTAAGTATTTCCGAAGGAGTAATTCGCATTTAGTGCTCATAAGTTAATCTTTATTACAGCCAGAATGAGCGAGCTCTAAGACCGATTGCAGTCATTTCATTAGAAGTAATTTCTTCACATACTTGCATGCAAAATCCACTACGGGAGCAGCGACGATGAATCGAGAGACAACATAATATTATATAAGTACAATAAGGCGCATGACACTTAAAAGAAGATACCAAAAGATGAGAGTAGATTTTATATATATAAATAAGTTTATGAGTTTAGGTTATTCGTTTGATGAAATGGAATTGAACGAGTGAGATTTTTAGATGATTGGGTCATTAACATGAGGTCACCTGTTCGAAGGCTAGTGATTAGCCAAATTGGTCTTGTTCTTGTAGTCATTGTTTAGTTCTTGCGAAAATGCAAAGTTAAGACCAAGACTGTTTTTACACTAGTAAGTCCAAGACCAAGATTCAGCGAGCAGGACCAAGACTAAAACGAAGACCAAATACGCAAAACTAAAGAAAATATTACTTCCAGTGGATTTAAGGATGTTTGGGAGGTATGTCAAATAAAAATTTGGAAGAGCGTTCCTCATTCAATTCTAAAACTCCTGTAAAAATTACAAATCGATTCACTAAACCGTTAAAAAGTAATTGCAATTTTAAAAAATTGTAATTTTACACGTCATTTTATGGAGATTCGATAACCGAACAGATTAAATTTATTTTTATTAACAGAAAAAAAGCTAACAGAAATTTCAAACTTTTATAATAAGTAACTTGAACTCTGGAGAATCACTTTAGCGTAAGGTTATTGAAATTTTAAAAAATTGTAATTTTACACGTCATTTTATGGAGATTCGTTAACCGAACAGATTAAATTTATTTTTATTAACAGAAAAAAAGCTACCAGAAATTTCAAACTTTTATAATAAGTAAGTCGAACTCTGGAGAATCGCTTTAGCGTAAGGTTATTCAAATTCACTAAATGGTTATCGAG